TATGTTTTATCAGGCTTAACACTAAGAAAATTAACCCCTAAAATTAGAATATTTCAATTCCTGTTGTTCATCTTTCTTTGATATCCTTTTCCTAGCTCCTGGTTGCTTCTTTCTTAACTTTCTGGACATTTCACCACACTCATGCTCTTTCAGAGGTACCCAAGGATTACACAGTTTCCAGCTCCTTCCTCTGTGCCATTATTGATAAAAGCTGAATCACACCTAATTTCAGCTCCATTGGCTGCTGCTAGGTATTAAGTAATTAATTTCATAAACTCCCTCATGTTAAAGTTTTCATGGGGTATGACAGACTAAAATATTTTATTCTTAGGTAATACATATCTAGCAATATGTCTTGGGATGGTAATCCCTTAATGCAAAAAATGGCAAAAGTCTCAGAGGCCAGAGGAGGCTAAAAGCAGGTGGGGAGGCTCATTTTGGGCAGAACACTCCCAAACATTTTGCATAAGTAGTCATCCTCATGCCCAGGCCTTTTGCTAACTCCTGCCTGACACCAGAGACAACTCAGAAGATCAAAGGGAAAATTGAGTGCCTAACATTTTTTGAAGATAATTCTAAGACTGAACAAAGTGAACAGGATTGTCCTGACCTCCTTAATACTCATTTATTGTGTTTATTTACTCTTCAGAGGTGCTTCTTTGCCATTCTGTCTCCCATAGCTGCTAAATAGCTGTTTTGTGTGTTCAGTTTAGTCATGAGGATTTGGGGCTGGCTATGCCTCTAGTTGCCTTTCAGTTTTTATTGTGGAATCAGAAAGGACTTTTTTTTCAGATCAATTTTAGTAACACAAAATATTTAAAATTTTTATGAGTGATGAGGAGTGGGGATGTTTTTAGATTTTTCTGTAATAAGCTTAGGAGAACAGTCTTAATAGCATAATTCATGGTCAAAAGGACCATTAATTAGCAAACGCGAGGGCAGTAGAGTATATTTTATTGCTTAAAGGCTTATGCTGATGTGAATGATGTGAATAATCACATATAATTTACACCAAGAGGTTACTCTATATCTTTGCAGAGAATCATAAATTTAGTGGCGATCTTGAGAGGTCATTTTTTTTTTTTTTCTCCACCGTTAGACAGGATGCTTCTCTTGCAACTTTCTTGCACCTTCCCTGAAATACTAGAGTCTTAATTTAGTTCTTCCAGTGTTATGCAATATTTCCATAGCATCCCAAAAGCTTCTGTATATCAACTGAAAGCTGACTTTCTCATATGCCATATACTTTTAGGATCTTCAGTCACAAATATGTTATTTTAATTCTTGATTCTTTAATGCAGCTTACTAATGCAGCATTTCTCTGGGTATGCTGTCTCTCCGAGCACTAGTCCCATGAGGTACTGTGGCAGAAAAGAAAGTTTCCACTTTCTTTTAGAATTCCACAAATTCTACAGAATTTGGTAGGCTCCGAGTAACACTGGACTACCTAGGAAATGATCTTTCCATACCTATCATAGTGTCTGGAGGTTGTCCTTAGACCACGGTGTTTAAGGAACAGCTAGAACCCAACCAACAGCAAACACACAAAATAAGCAAAAGTATAAAGCGTGCAGATGACTCAGATGTGCAGCTGGCTGAGAACCGTTGGTTTTGATCGCGGATGCTCTCCCAGGGACCGGGAGATACGGCGGTGGGGGTTCTGAGCTCGCGGGAAGATGGAATGGGAAGCCAGTGGCATAGGCACTCTTTCAGCACAGGAGGTAAAACCAGAAAGCATATACCCAAACAGCCTTACCGTATTTACACAGTGAAGTAACTCACTCAGGCCTACTCACTACTTAAAAAGGAATTCCCTAAGGCGGATCTCTGAACAAGTAGAAGCAAGACTGTGGGCTGCGCTCATTATTTTAAGTAGTATGGTTAGTGTTGTTCTGAAGAAACACTTGTGATGGTCCCTTTGCTGCATCCCGCTTTCATCCTACTCCAGAGATGAAACAACACCCCTGCAGGGTAATGAGAATGAACCCATTGCCCGTGATGTTCTGTTTCTATGCATTGGTGCCTCCACCTTTTCCTTTAGGACTGAAAGTTATTTTACACCCCGGTGGGTAAGCAAGAAGAATTAAGTAATTTAAGCATGATGAAGTACCTCTCAAGGAACTTTAAGGAGTGAAGAGAAGAGAGGCTGTTTCTCAAGCAGGTACCGAAGGAGCCAGATTGACTTTCCGAAGGATGTGGGTGGTGGACAGGGACCTGACAGTCAAGTGGAATTTGAATAAGACTAGGAAGACAGGGAACAGATGCTTCATGTAGGGGGAACCCCATGTGCAAGGTGTAGAGCTGAAAATGAACTTGCAGTGTATGAGGAACAGTCCCCGAATAACCAATAGGTATAGGATTTTCTACTTCCTGCTTTCTAGGACTTTCTACTTTGTCTCGTTCTGCCTCAGGGAACTACCTAAGCTGTACTGCTGAAAAGAATTGGGAACACCTACCTGCAAATGTTTTATTGCCAGACTTGAATAATACAGATTCTGGTCAGTGGATCCAGAAAAGAAAAGCCCACATATGATACATCAAAAGTAGCTTCCCTGCTAGGCATTTTAGACCCCCTAGAACAAGACCCCATTTCACCAAGCCAAGGTAGATCTCACTTCTCACCGTCATGGGTTCTATTCCAGTGAAGCAGATCGCTTCTGTCCGTTTGGTGTGTTGTGTTCAGTTTTGCCTCCAGATCCTTGCTTATGTCATTCCCCTACTGAAAACATACTCCGCGGTTCTCACTGCCCATTAAAACTCCCCATCTGGTTAATTTCTCAGATCACATAATTATCTTTTTGCTTTAAAACCAAATATGTCAGCATCTTGTATTATTATTTTCTGATCATTAATTGCATCTTTTTTTTTCTGTCCAAAATGATAGTTATACTCATTAAGTCTAGGTAAGTCTATGATACATATCTCTTATTCTACCTTATCCTGGGTAAATAGTAGATATTCAATAATTACTTCAGTTATTACCCAAGCACACATTTATTTGGCATAGGACCCCAAAGGAAATTTGTCATTCAATAGTTGTAAATTCATGGATGGGAAGTTTGGGAAAAGTAGGTGCCCCAGGATGTAATAAGCAAACGGTACTCCCCATTTGCAATGTGTTTCACATCCAATGTCATATTATTTCTACTAGAAGCATGAATGGTGGGTAAGAATGATATTACTCACTTTATAGATGAAATGACCAGGGTCCAGAAAGTTGTAATGATCTGCTCCAGATCAGATGGTGGGTATTAGAGCAGGACTCAAACCCTCATCTTATGATTTTGAAGCTGAAGTAGAGGACAGGACCGGTCAGGCAGTGGGAATGGGGAATCTGTGGTGGGGAGAGAATTTGCCAGAAGGAGGCACAATCAAAAGGGAATTAGGAGTTCTAAAGATAAATCTGGACTTGGGGCAACACTTGAGATGGCAGCGGGCGGGTGGTGGAGGAAGGGAGGCTGGCAGCCAGAGCTTTCTCCTTCTGGCAGCTCCACTTCTTATAGCTCCCAGGAAGAAGGATTCTGAATGGACATTAACCATGTGACTGTCCTCAAACTGTGTGTGGAAGGTGACCATGCCTCAGCCACTAGACACTAGGAAAGTCACGGGTGGGTTGAGAAGTCCTGTTTAAGCTGTAAGTTGGAAGTTAGGAATAGGTTAAATCTGTGTCTTTTAGAGAGGCTGAATGGCATCCTTAGACTTCGGCTTATCAGTGGGTCACCAACTGTGGGGCATAGGACATAAATTCCACCTGAAGGCTGATGGGTTCTGTCCCAAATGGCTTCCTAGAGGGCTGAACAGTGACATCTATTGGTTCAATTTGAAATAACAAGTTCAAAAGTGATAAATCATGGTTAGTATTTCTACCCCTTGCAAAGCAAAAAATTAACAATCATTCCAGAGGAAGTTATGACATCAGCAGTATGCTTTATCTTGGGAATAACACACCAGTCAACTTTTAGTATTGGGGGTAGACAATGACACTATATATATGTGTGTGTGTGTGTTTCTTTTTATGGGACCCATCAAAGACTTCTGTAAGGTTTTTAAAATCCAAATTCAGTAGAAACACTACCAGGTCCTGTGTGTTTTGAGAGTTCCTCATCACTCAGGATTTTATCCTGGAGCAGGGCTGAGTGAATTTAGGAAATGGATTTGCAAGGGTGGTGGTAGGAAATAATGAAATTGCTTTCTGTTTTAGGAAACTTGCAACCCAAACCTTCCTGTGCATGAGCCTTGTGAGTCACAGCCAAGATTGAATTCTTTTCTAAAAATTTCAATATATCCTTTAAAATCTCCTAGTTCTTAACTTCACTTAGTGAAGATCTATGTTCCTTTGTATTCAGTGCTCTAATAACTAATGATTCTGTCTCTTCTTTTGGAAAACCTCTAATGCTCACTGAACATATAACCAATAGAGGTGCTATTCTGGGCAATTTTAATGACAATTAAAAATATGTCATACTCTGGCAAATTAAGCATTTTATATATTTATGATATATTTTAAATATTGGTGGAATGTTCTCCCTCTCTTCCCCTTTACATATAGATATAGCTGTATAGATACGGAGATCTAGATAGATACACAGATACAATGTACATTCCCTATAAATATCTTCTCTTAGCTCAACCCTTTGTAAAACTTGCTAAGCAACAGTAAAATGGTTGGGGTGTAGCCTTCAATGTCTTATTCACCCAAGGGAGGGGTGAAGTGACACAGGAGTAAGTAGCATGATAAAGAAATGACTTAAGGTAGGCGTGGATACTCAGTCTGCACACTGAATAGTTGAATACTCACATATTTGGGTCATTGAAGAAAAGTGTGAAGATACTCACCAGGTATTAATTAGGATTTTGAAGTTTCCAGGATGACCCTGGAAACTTGCATTTTCACTGTAAAAGAGGGGGGTGTGGTTATGAGCTGGTTCAAGTTGGCTCATTCGGGTCTGTTGCCATCTCTACTGGTTTGCTTTCTAGACTCCTGGTCGCGTGAGCACAGCATGGCACTAAACCACACTGCCCTGCCCCAGGATGAGCACCTGCCACACTACCTCCGAGAAGGGGACCCCTTTGCTTCCAAACTTTCCTGGGAAGCGGATCTAGTGGCTGGCTTTTACTTAACAATAATTGGTAAGCTTCCTTAATTTTTCTGTGCAAATGCTGCAGCTAGAAAATTCAGAGGCTAATATGTTGATTTTGCACAAGGATTCACATCCTTACATAGATGTTTTGACTGGGGGTGGAGAGTGGGAGGAAGGTAGAAGATGGGGGCCGCATTGCAGGGTTCAGTGACTGTTTCATAGAAATGACTTGGTGATCTTTATTATTAGTGATGGCTATTCCCTCAAAAATCAAAGAAGTTTTACAGCAAAATCATTTATCCTAGGACTATATTGGTTGCGTTAAGAGTAGGTTTGTCTTCTGAATCACAAAACTAATGATAATGATATCTTATTTAAATAGAGTGCTTTTACATAAAAAAATGCTTTTAATATAATCATAAGATGATAGGCTCAGAACGGACCTTAGAAATCACCTAGTTCAGCCTCCTCCTGTCACAACTGAGGAAACTGTCCCCGGGCTGTGGTCACAACGGACACACTAAGTTTACTGCACCTAAAGGAGAGTTGCTCTATGTTGGCATTACTAAGTGAGTTTGGTGAGAGTTGAAAAAAACATACTGGTAATGAAATGGGAGTCATCCCAGGGTCAAAAATTTGTGCATCGTCCAAAACCTGGTGCACCTGCTTCCAGACTATGCTCTCCAATGCCATAGCCACGTGTGGCTGCTGAACGGTGACTTGTCCAAAAGAGGTGCTGTAGTGTGAGTATATGCGAAACACTGAAGACTTTGCCCTAGCAAAAATATTGCGAGATAGTTCATGACTAATTAAAGCAAGTTGACTGCATGTCAAACCTGTAACATTTTGCCTGTATAAGGCTAGATATATTACTAAAATGAATTTAGTGTTATGTTTACTTTGTTTAATGTGGTTACTGGAAAAAAAATGAAATATGTATGGCTCACATTTCTGGTTTACGTTGTATTTCTACTGGACAACATTAGTCTAGGTGAATAGGATTTGAGCATAAAACTTCTTAAATTTAAAATTGTTGTTTTAAATTTGGGTAACCAGTGCACAGGTGGGTTATGTCTTTAGCTGTGTCTGCCTTTAATCTTTTCAGATTTGGGTCAAGTTTTCTCTCTCTCCCTCTCTCCCTGTCTTTCTTTCTCCTTTTCTCTCTCCCTCCTTCCCTCTCTTTCATCTCTTTATTACGGGCTAAGAATTTCATTTAACCTTCTGAAATTAGCAAATATCATTAGAAAAGTCTGGAGATACCTCTATGGTCAGTGCTTGAGGCAAAAGGAATTGATGAGATTGAATCAGAAATTTCACTGCAAAGGGATTCCCTGGGTCCTTGGCTTTATGATTAGCAATTATGACACTGATTTAAAATCTATTTCTTATAAATGGACTCTCATGTCCTTTCAAACACAAGTGTATATGGAGTGCTCATTCTTTGCCACTGTTTAAGTTTCTGGGAATACAGCAGTGAACAAAATGGGCAAAGTCTCTTTCTGCACAGGGTCTATCTGGTAGTAAAACCCACATTGCATTTTCATTTAACAGAAGTACTTCCAATTATCAGAAAAAGCAAAAAAATTGACATCTTATAAATTGAATTTGTCTCAATCAGTTGCAAGAATTGAGTTAAAAAGGAGCACTCCAGATAAACAAAAGAGGGAGAGGGATCACATCCATTCCCCGCCCTGGCATGGGAGATCTCAGGAAGAGGGACAACGAGGCTGGGAGGAGGGGGATCAGGAAAATTGCTCCCTTGTTGCATGTGGGGATGGAAGGAAAATCCAGAGTCAGATTCAAATGGGCATGGCTGAGGTGAAGCTAGAAAAATAGGTCCCCAAAGAGTCCCCAAACAAAGGGAACATCAGGTGACATGGAGATGGTGCGGAGCCAAAGACATGTTCCAGAAGGGTCATTCAGGATGAGGCCAGGGTCCTTTGGAGGGATTTGGATTCATCTAGACCCAGTCTTGGACTTGGTGCTATGTCTGGGTTTTACCCCTCCTAGGATAGGTATGGGGATATGCCCAGATATCTTTTTAAGGGAACAGAGTGGAATGATATTCTTGGGGAGTTTTGTTAAATACTGGAAGTCTTCGGGAAAACTGGAGGATGAAAAGATACATCTGAGTTTGGAATAGAGGAGAAGTAAATTAGAGACCCATACCCACCCTTCAACTCTTTTACTATAGATACTTGGTTGATTAACAGTCTATAAGTGAGGTTTCATCGCTTTGTATTCCTAGAAAGATTCAGGATTTTGATAATCGAAAAAATGTCCCTCCCACCCCCACCCCTGCCTTTAGCCTTTAGCTTCTTAATCTTGCTTTCCTTTAACTATCTTCAAGAATGTTTGCATTCTCTTGATAATCCCCTACAACTGTCTCTGGGAATCATCTGCCGGCAGCTCACAGAGAGTTGACTAATTTTTGATAATGCTTTAGGCACTGGGTAAAGCCTTATGAAACATAATAAAGATAATTTAAGAAAGGAAGAGTAAGAAAATCAATATTCTCGAAAGAGAAGTAGGAAGACACAGGGTATTTAAAGGAGCTTTGTGTATCAATTACATATGTATGCTTATTGTTCTCAAACTTCTTGAATACAAAGTAGAAGGCATTTGTTTCAAATTCCTTAAGGCATGTTTTCACATGAATTTCCCAGTGTGCCTTGCTAACTGTTTCCTTTACTGAGACATAGGTTTCATGTTAGTTGGTTTGCTCTAGAACTCCGTGATCTCTTCTATTTTTCCTCTTCTGTCTTAAGAAATCGAAAGAGGTTTTAACGACCACTAGGCAGCACTGACCCCAGGGACTCATAATTTCCTAAAAGCACAATGCAGTTCATTCCTGGTGGTTTCATACCGTCAGGCGAAACACACATTTCTTTCCTTGCCCCCAAAATGAATTGTGGTGGAGAAGTAGAAATTAAAATAGAAAAATCTGGGTTTCTCCTGTTAATACTCTCCTTATTCCTTACTACTAAAGGCAGCTGTACCAGATTCTCATTTATACACAGCTACACTATGAAGCAAGAATTCCTGAAGAAATCTACTCTACATGTTAAGCTATGGAAGTAGGTGTATTCTTTTCTTAAATAAAGTCAGTAGGGATTGGGTCTTTTTGGATTTAAACTGGGTTTGTAAGAACTTTTGAACAGTATCATTGTAATGCCAAAGCCAATCAGTCATTAATAAAAGGATATAAAAAAATGGGAACACATTTATACCACTATTCGTAGGTTGGTGGGTTGAGGGTCACTTTCTCTCCCTTTGGTGGGAGGGGAGAGCCCATATTATCCACTGTCACCTACTTCCCCTTAATACCTAGTCCAGTAGTAGCTGCAGACACCCAGCGTCCATGTGTCCTCAGGAGGCAAAATGTCCTGGGATGTGTCTCCAGGAGATGACCCTTTCCTCTCAGGGGGTTATGCCAGCCCAATCTGGCCTCTACCTCTCCTGAATGCTGGTGCTCCCTCAGCAGTCCACAGTGATAGTGAAAGCACCTTGTCTGGTTGGGGTCACTTCAGCTTCAGAGTGTACCAAGAGCCAAGGGGTTAACCCTGCTTCTCAGAGGGAGGGAGTTTTATAGAGCCAATATTCGGTAAAAATGGCGGAGGAAATACTCCATCCTGGGGGCCAGTACAAGAACTGACCATGGGGATTCCCACCCCTCCTGAGCTTCACTGGGAAGTTAGCAGTTCCTTTTTCTGGGTAAGTTCAGTCTTATAATCCCTGACTCCTATCCCTTTGGAGGCAACCCATCCCTCACCTGTCACTTGCAACTCATGCTTTTTACTTCATCTTCTTAATTTAGATTTTTTATTTAGAGTCCTCTCACTACCCTCTAAATCTATGGTGTCCATTTTTGAAATTGAGAAGTGTTTCATATCAGAGTGAACTCTAAATCCTAGTGCTGACGATGGGAATTTATATTTTTCCTTGTAGGGATTCTGTCCACATTTGGAAATGGATATGTCCTTTATATGTCTTCTAGACGAAAGAAGAAGCTGAGACCTGCGGAAATAATGACTATCAATTTAGCAATCTGTGATCTGGGCATTTCAGGTAATGCAGCCATTTCTTCTTTGGGGGGTTTGAGCTGTGCTCCATTCTAAAGTCCTTACTGGCTCAGAGATCATCCCTCCCCTGTCTCCTTTCACTCCTCCCTTCACCAGTCATCTTTACAGAGGTTGTGGTAAGCCAACGGAGTGTCGTCAGGTTAAAGAGCTCATCCATTTGCCATTCGTTGAGTCTTTTCTGTGTGCTGAGCATGTTAGATACCAAGGAGACAATTTGGAATGATGAATGATACCTTTTAATGCTGAGCCTCAAAGTGTACCAGCTAAATGACTGAGAAGACAGAAACTTACAGATCACAGTGTTGGTCTCCTTTACACCCCTGCCACACACAGGGGACTCCGTTAAAATAAACACCAAGGGGCTAGGTCTTGAAGCTTAAATGATGGGCAAAGACAGTCTGAGAGGTGAGTTTAGGAAGATGGGAGAGCTGACCTGCTGGTACATTGAAGTGTGGCTTCAGGACTAATTGCAAGCATAGGAAGCCTCCAGGTCAGTCATTCTTGGAATTGGATGCACAAAAAAGCCACTTGGGGAACTTAAACACAAAACAAAACAACAACAGAAAAACAAAAAACTTCATGGCTGGGTTTTATACCCAGAAATTTTTATTGAATTGGTTGAGACTATTACCTGGGCATCAGGATATTTAAAGTTGGTATTATCAGGTAAGTTAATGTGCAGGCAAAATTGGAAACCACTGGTTTATTTCTTGCTTCTTTGGCTTCTCTGATAACCCCGCCAAGGAGGAATTGGAATAAAATTTCTCTTTACTTGTAATTCATTTTTATAAATATAAATGGTTTTGGATAAGTAGCCTCCCTTTGCTTTCATCTATAAAGTCCCAAGGTTGTCTAAATACACTCCAACCTGCCTTTGAATCCCAAATCCTGTTGTTTGGAGTATGGTCTTAAGTTACTAGAATTGGGGAAACTGTGTGTGAATAGTGCACAGCAACTCCTCTTTCCACTGGAAACTTTTTAGCAGTTTCCCATCTAAAACGTCTCTTTTAAAATGTTTTTTGACATTTGTTTCTCCCTTTATAAGTGGATTTTTCTGCCAATGCCAGTCTCCAAAAACAAGGCTCAATAAAGAAGCCTCTACCTATCGAATCACTGTTTATCACCAGCAGATGTGTTGCCCTTGAGGGTGTGTGTGGTCTTCGTTACTTGGGGAGGCTTTACTCAGTATGGACAGGCTTAAATATCAAGAGCTCTTATCGGAAATGCACATTGACATTAAGAGAAGCATATTGTGTCAGGCCTCCTGGGATGAAAACCGCTGAAAGGAACCGCAGGCAATTTGCAAGGCGGCACAATGACTGCCATTTTAGAAATGGCCACACGATGGCGGTGTCGCAACATGAATAATTGCTTTCCGGGTTCCCCTCTCCCGGCTGAGTCCGGACGGCTCTCTCCCTGGTACTGAACGTAAAGTGCTCGACTGAAACCTGCCATTTCCATCTACATCCTTCACCAGCGAATAATACTAGGTTCATGTTTAAGGCTGAATTAGTCTATGCTTGAATAAAAATGTCTTTAGTTGGTCTGATACACTGAAAATGCTTTCCACCAAGCAAACCTGCTCTAGAATTGCACAAACCATCTCCTTACTCTGCCTATGTCTTTGGAGTAATTCAGCAAGAAGGCATTTTCTTCCATGTGATAGCTTTTGCTGATGAACTCAGATCATTTCTCAACTATGAGTATCTCTAATACATTTTCCAGTCCAATAAACCTTAAACATTTTCGTCTATTTTGTTTTTTTTCTTGGTCAACTATATTCCATTTTAAGCACCTTGAAGTACATGGTAGAGACCAGATGTATTTCATCTATATAACTAATATTTGTTGTTTATATACCAGTAGCTTGCAATTGTGTATATGTATTAGAATCACCTGGGGAGCTTAAAAAAAAAAGCATATTGCAATATATTGATGCCTGAGCTCGTTCCAGATAAATTATATCAGATTTTCTGGAAGTTAGAGTCCTGGAAATTGATATTTAAAGTAAAATAAAAACAAAGGAGAACAAAACAACTCTTCCAGTGATTTTGGTGTGCAGCCGGGTTCAGAACCATTCTATTAAGTGAAGAAGGGAGAGGCATTCTAAATGACATTCCAAAGGTTTACCAAAGGTTCCATTCCAGAAGGAAGCTTAAAATAGTCCCAGGCACAACAGACACTAATTTCACTCCATCCCAGTCACTTTCACTTGTCTCTTGCTGCTTTTAGCACCCACACAGCTGACACTTAGCTCAAGCTTTGAGTTTGTGTCTCCTCTGCCTAGAATATTTCCCCTCTAGACATTTGTTTGTGCTCTCTACCGGTGATGTAGACATCTCCCTAAATGTCACATTCTCAGAGAGGTCTTCCCTGATCCCCTTATATAAAACAACAATTACTATCTATCTCCTTTCTCTTCATTTTTCCTCTCAGGACTAATGACTATCATGCCATAGTATCATATCTTATATTATAAATTATATATTTCTCTTATCTACCCTCTACTATAAAATACATTTGTCAGTCTCGACTTCCACTTTGTCCTCTATCACCTTGCTCTGTGGTTGTTACATAAGAGGCACTGGATAATTATTTGCTGCATAAGAAATAGTCCTTTTATACTCAGTTTCCTCACTGACAATCAGGCTAGGCCACAGGGATTAGGGAGCCCTAATAGGGGGGTGCACAGTCCAGCAAGATGGAGTGTGAAACTTGCTATCTAGACAACTAAACAAATGAGGGGAGATGTGTGTCTGGCTTACAGAAGGCACTTGAGAAATACATGTTACCTGACTGCACTAATAGGAACTTGTACCTCTGTCTGTTGAAGAAGGGACACACCTAGGAGGGATGGGGCAGGGCTGGCACCTCTGAGTATCAGTTCCTTGGTTTTCCTAAGGAAATAAATTTAAGGAGCCTTATGATAGATAGATAGATAGATTGATTGATCAATCACACAGAGCTCATGAAGAGCTTCCTCAGCATGTTCCCTTCCAGGAGGGTGAAGATTAAATATAATAGCTGAATATGAAGGGTGCAGGGCTTGAATTAGAGTAGAAGAATGTTTTCTAGAAAGTAAAAAACACAAAAACACTAACAGAAGCTGAGGAATAGTTTATTTTTTATTATTTATTCATTATTCATTTATTTATTTCCAATTCAATATTTTTAAATTTAAATTCAATTAACTAACATATAATGTATTATTGGTTTCAGAGGTAGAGGCCAGTGATTCGTCAGTCTTATGTAACACCCAGTGCTCATCACATCCTCCTTAATGTCCATCACCCCATTACCCCATCCCCCACCTCCTACCTCCCTTCCCCTCTAGCAACCCTCAGTTTATTTCTTATGATGAATAGTCTCTTATGGTTTGTCTCCCTGTCTGACTTTGTCTTGTTTTATTGTTTTGAGGAATAGTTTAAATCCCAGAAATCTGGGTCTGGTTGCAATCAGATTAAACCTAACATTAACTAAAATAGCTATCTCTTGTCTGAATAGAATATGACTCAACAGTGAGTTGACGCAGGTGCATAATTTTAACTAGAGGGAATTTCCCTTGACAAATTGTTTGGCGCTCTAGTTGTAGGCAAACCGTTCACGATCATCTCTTGCTTCTGTCACCGCTGGGTGTTTGGCTGGATTGGCTGCCGTTGGTACGGATGGGCTGGATTTTTCTTTGGCTGTGGAAGTCTCATCACCATGACTGCTGTCAGCCTGGATCGGTATCTGAAAATCTGCTATTTATCGTATGGTAAGTATGAAGGCTTCTCATTCCCTGATAGTCAAAACTAGTGGATTGCCAGACTGTAAATATTGCACCGAGAGGTAATGAACAAAGATTGCTAAGAACTTAAGAGACCAAGAGTATTCCTACTTAGAGACTATTTTGTTCTAACTTAAGTTTAAAAATTTGAACCTGTGTCGATGTAGGTTTCTTTTAATACTACTTTTATAGGAATGTCTGGTGTTTGGCTACAATGATTTTGGCAAGCATCATTTCCTTGTATAATCTGTGTAAGCTTCTACCATGTTTTGCCATGCAAACAAAGAAATAAGATGCACTGAAAGGATGTCAGGCCCAAGATATTTTAGCTTGTTCCCCACATGGTAAGTGTAATTATAAGAAAGATGTTTCTGATCCTCCTCTAGGCCTCAGGTTCCCTGTGATTTCAGAGGTGAGGAATTCCAAAAATTCCAGCTCCAAGCTAGAGAGCCGTGCAGGTGCTGGCAAGAAAGGACACATGCAGAAATATCAGTCAACACACTCATTGTGGTATTGTAGGGAGGAAGATGAGTAACTAGAAGCATTGATGAGGGGAGAGCCAGCTATAAAAAAGTTTTCAGGCTCAAGGTTTTTTTTTTGTTTTATAATAACAACATGTTAAAAATAAACTTTGATTACATTTGTTTCTTGGGGTTTTGGGAACTTACTGAATCCCAAAGAGAAGACTTTGGGTCCCTCTGTTTCATACTGAGAACCAGGTGCGCCCAGGGAATAGTATCCGCTCCCTCTCGAAAACGCTGCTCTGTTTGTTAATCTGTCAATCAGAACAGTTGTGACCGTGGAGATGGAGGATGGCCTGGAGCCTGAGGTGGGAAGCATCAAGTCAACTTCATACTCTTAATGTGGTGGAATTTTCCTTTATATTTTAAAACATTTTTTTTTTTTAAAGATTCCATTTATTTATTTGAGAGAGAGAGCAAGAGAGTACCAGCAGGGGGAGGGACAGAGAGAAAGGGAGAAGCAGATCCTCCACTGAGCAGGGAGTCTGATGTGGGGCTCAATCCCAGGACCCCAGGACCATGACCTGAGTTGAAGGCAGATGCTTAACTGATAGAGACACCCAGACATCCCTTTTCCTTTATATTTAAAAGCTTATAGTCCCAGACTCCAAGGAAACCATGCAGGGGAGGGTAAGGTCATGGACTATCATCTTCGCAAACTAGCACTCATTTTTTTTTCTTTTAAATTTGCATCTCTTTTTCTAAACAGCTTAACACTTCCAGTGGAAATAACTGAAATCAGAATTTCCAAAAATATAAAAAAATATTCAGTTATGTATATCCTGGATGACTTCAGAGTCCTATACTTACTACCAACTTATTTTTGGTCACATCAAGTAGATCATAAATGTAGATTTTATAGATGAGAAGGCAGAATTTCAGCTTCCTGGGGATATTTGAGGAATACCTTGATGTCACTGATTTTTAAATATTGCCTTGAATTTAGGCTTGGTGTCCATTAAAGAGGTGATACTGCCCACCCCCAGAATCGCTGTAGGGCATCACTCTATATGGGAACTGTATATATATTTCCATCTTCTTTTAAGATTGAACCTCAGTAGAATGATTTCACCATTTGATTTGACTCATGATTCAACCCTCTACACAGTGTCTTAAAATGTTGGAATTAGAAGACCGCTTGGGAACATGGAGACCTTTCTCCCATTAATGTGATAAATTGTTTTAAGGCATCCCTGACAGACGGCCAGTTGGCCTCTTCTTGAATAATTCCAGTGACCAGTGACGGGGAGCTTACTACTGTACAAGGCAGCCCATTCTCTGATTGGTCTGCTCTCATTGTTACAATGTTATTCCTTATATTGAGACAAAACTGCCTCCCAGTAACCTCCACCCATTGGTCCTAGTTCTGACTTCTGGAGCAACACAGAACCAATCTACTAATCTACTCCCTCCTGTACTTGACAGCATTTCACCATACTCGAATGTAAGTATACAACACCTCGCCAAGTAACCCTAACCATAAATGCTTATACGTATGCGTATGCACATTCCCCTAAATATATGTGATTATCCGTGCCAATGTTTTATCCATTATAATGGATAATCAGGAGCTGATATCTATTGTGGCTACATGATTGTTACCTCTCTCTGGTTGGGCTTGAGAAATTGGAATTTTCTGATACAAAATGCCATATATTTGAAAAAAAAAAAAGAGAGACCATAGAGCATAGATACAATCTATATTTCTTGTTAGTGTTGAGACAAACATAGGAGTAAAAATTTGTGTTAATGTAGTCCTTTGTAGTTTGCAAATCAGGCCTTGCATTATTTCTTTGAACCCTTATCAAAACCTGTAAGCAATGTATTCTTATTTCCTCCATTTTACTGCTAAGAATGTGGGCATCTAGAAAGGGTACATGAAGAAGGTCAAACACTAGAAACAAGAAGAAGTAGACCCTACTGACTTCCTAAACTGCATATGGCTCTGAGCGGAAGCAGGCCTTGTGTCTGTATTGAAGGGTCCATTTGGCTTTTGTTGACTGTGTCCTGATATTTCTTGTCTGCTACTCTAAAACCAAGGCAGTAAGGATTTGCTTCTCTGGCCCTTTCTCTTTGAGATGATAAGTGGAATATGGAGGTAATTCCACAAGCAGGCTGCAGCACTAGATCAGGCTTCCCTGTCTTGGGTGGTTATGGTAAACTTTGGAAAGTGATCACTAGTGTTCTATAGCTTTTTTTAGATGACTACACCAGTTCTTCTCGGAATTCTCTTTTGGTTGATGGAAACTAGTTCTGAAAAACCTAGAGCTCATTTTTTGTTTTCCTGAAAGTATTTTCACAGAATTACTTTTGCAGAACATGATGCAACCTACCTAGATTCTCTACCTCTCTTGGTATGGCTGTGTGAACTTGACTGTTGTGTTTGTCATGTTTGAAGATTCAAAACCTGCTCCCACGAAGCAGGGTCAGTCACTTTAATATCTCAGCACTCAGTCATGGTTGGGGCCCAGTGACCCCCACTGACAAGCGTTTAGGAAGATGAATGAGATGAGAGGCATGAAAGCTTTTAGGGAGAAGGGTATTGAAAGGTGCAAGCAATGTGTCATCAGTTCTCACCTTCCCCAAAGGAATCCACCTTGGATGAACCAATAATACATGCTTTTGAGGGCTTGGTCGTTTTGTTCTACCAATTGGCCTTGTATTGGATAGGATCTCAAAGGTCATACTGGATGCTTTCTTAAGATCCTTCCTTCATTGTCTTTGGCATCCTTCTTTCTACGGTCCCCTTTCCTCAGCTTTTATCACTTACCCCTCCCAAGGCTCCTGCGTGCCTATGGAAACCTTCCCTATGAAAGCACTTCTGATTTTATTCACTTGGAAAAAGGCCCATGCTCTGGAACTTTTCTCCCTTCACTCCACTCTCCCTCAGAATTCAGTTGTCTGACCACTTCTCCCAGAATCCAATGGAATAACTCTTTGGATGTGGAATTTGACATATCGAGGGGAGGTATTTGGGTGTAGGGCAGATTACATCCCGGTAATGCTTTTCTTCTACCTCCAGGGGTTTGGCTGAAAAGAAAGCACGCCTACATCTGCCTGGCAGTCATCTGGGCCTATGCTTCCTTCTGGACCACCATGCCCTTGGTAGGTCTGGGGGACTACGCACCTGAGCCCTTCGGAACCTCGTGCACACTGGACTGGTGGCTGGCCCAGGCCTCCGTGGGTGGCCAGATTTTCATCCTGAACATCCTCTTCTTCTGCCTCTTACTCCCAACGGCTGTGATCGTGTTCTCCTATGTGAAGATCATTGCTAAGGTTAAGTCCTCCTCTAAAGAAGTAGCTCATTTCGACAGCCGGATACATAGCAGCCATGTGCTGGAAATGAAACTGACCAAGGTAATTACAGTAATAATTTACAGAGGGGTTTTCTAATAAATTAAAACCTCATAGGGCAAAGAGGATAGGGAATATTGGGGACTGGGTGAACTTCGAATCTCTATTCTTTATGTATTTCTATGCTTTGCTATTATTTATCTAAACCTTTGTAATATTTCTTTTCACTGTTTCTCTCTCTCATTTATACACACACACACACACACACACACACACACTTTTAATATCTACTGAATTTGTATGGTGGATCTACTGGAAGCTTATTCTCTCTATTGAATAAGATATTCTTGGTTCTCAAAAATTATTTAAGTCATAAAAATAGTAACTTTTATGCATCATAAAATGCCTCACAGTATTTGTACTATTTTGTATGGACTTTGGTGGGTGTGGTTAGAACATTCTGTCAGCTCACATTACAGAGTAAGAGCTTACCACATCTACTATCCTATGGGAAACTTGTCTTAATACAAGAGAAGTTTCTGCAGGGTCGAGTCCCTTGGTCAATGCTAGTTTCAGAATTTACAGCTCCTTAGAGACTGTTATGTGAGGAAAGGAACACACAATTTGAGAATAGACTAGGGTTCTCATTCCATCACCAACACTTGCCAGTTTGTGATCCAGACCTAGATACTGAACTTCTTTGAATCTCTATTTTCTCACTTGTGCAACAAGAATAGTAACATCTATCTCCTTGGATTGTGGTGGAGATTCGATGAGATAAAATATGTTATTCTATCATTTGGTGCATAGAAGGTATTAAATAAACTGTAGTTCCTTCATTCTCTTGTAACTTTTAGAAATTCTGGGAAGTGTAAGACAGTGGTCTTTCCACCATCATCTTGTCTTACCCTTACATTGAAAAAAACCTTTTCCAGGGTATACCTCAACATAAGTGACATGCAGCTAATACCATCAAACTGTTTCCTAATATTAACATTCACATGTCCTAACTTCTACTTTACTTTTAAAGATAAAAAAAAAGTAAATGTAGATCAAAGTTCTAACCATTCCTTCTGGTATCTAAATGAATCATACCATTGATATCCCACCTTCACGCTACTTCCTACTTTTGAAGACCACTTGTCTCAGGACCTATAGTAACAGTTCCCTTCAGACCTGAGATCACTTCTAGTAAGTCAGGGCCTTCGTTCTAGTAATATTCCTCTCTGCACAGTGCAGATGTTTTGAGATGGTACAAGGATCTCTTGGTTGTACAGGGTGAGCTACAGAGTCTTGATGGTTCCAGTTGATCTTATGCTGAGTAAAAGAAAGCTCCAAGGAAGTCTTCAGTACTCTAAATCTATACTCATAATCTAATAATAGAGCAGTTCTACCTGGACAAAAACCCAAGAAAAAACATTCCATAAAATCCAAGGTCATGAATTAAGCTCGTTTCTAGCTCTCCTTTTAGCTCTTATCTGTGACTTAAAAAAAATATTAATCCAAATAAATCAGTTCAAGTTAAATTTGGATTACATTTAACCCAAACCTTACTCAGAACCAGATACTGCTCTAGGAACAGGGTGAATGCAAAAATAATAAAAATATTCCTTCTCAATACTTTATGGAAGTGTGTCCAGGCAAAGGATGTGATGTCCATCACACTGGTAGGTAGATTTGAATTTACCTTGTCGTCCTGAAGTTTGGCATACCAGGAAGCTGCTGAGATGTCATATGACTTCCTCTCCCTTGTTGCCTCCAATGGTGTTAGCCTCAAGACATTTTCATGGTCTTGATCAATGAGTCCAGATCCTTATTTCCATGAGGTGTTCTCCAGTTTCTTTGAGTGTGTAATTCATCATCTGCGCTCCTGTTAGTTGAATTGCCTAACTCAACCCATAGCTAGCTTTTATAAATACCTTAGCAGCTGGTTCTTTGTGTATTCTGGACAGTGGGTAATTTGTTTAGTGAGTGATTCTAAAGCTCATTATGCATACAAGGTGAAACTTGGCACACACCATTTAACTTGCTTTGTGGTTATCAGTCTCCTTGACACAGACTGGACTGTATAGGTCAAATAGCAGGGCTCACCCAGTCCAGATTAACCAGATATGTTAAATGAAAAGTATAAGCATTTATATGTATGATTTTATTTTATACACATCTTCTTCTGACATGTACTAAATGACATTATATTATATATATAATGTCTATGGCATATTATATGTTATATATTATACAATATGTCTGTATCTCATTTGTATATATAAAACTTATATTAAAATAACCTGAATATAAAATGCTTCTAATTATTAACACTTATGCAAAAAACATAAATCAAAATTCAACACACATTGATAAACACAACTTTCTATTTTGGCATCTTCTTTGCTAAATTTAAAATGTTTTCAATTACCATTTAATTTTGGTCTTGATTTTTTTCCTACTGAGTAAAAATAAGTAAAAACAACCTCACACTGGACCTTTTCATAGTCTTAGGAAGTTTTTTCTCCATTCAGCTACCTCTCAGGATTGATAGTTTGCTTATTCACTTGGTGCTTCTGATCATTTAGGATAGTCTGGTCTAAAAGCTTATTACTTAAAGGTCACCTCCTTGGATTCTGGGGTCAAAATCATTTACTTTTCTGGGTACTCTAATGATTTCCAGCTGGGTTATTATCTGGCCTGTATTTTGCTAGTCTGGTCTTATTCACCCGAAAACGGACATCCCACCTACAAATAGTTCTCTGCTTTGTAGTTTCCTTTGAATTAATATTTTAAGAATGATGGTTTTGTAAACTTTTGTACCAGGCTGAAACTTCACAGATTGCCAACAGAGGTATGCAAAAAAAAGCCCAAGAAATAAAGACCAATACGCAAAGAAAAATTCTCTTTGTGTTTCTATGACTCAGTATCATCTCATTTTCATTTGCCTGCATTTAACTTTGTAAAACAAACTTAATATTAAACAATCAGGATAGATTCGGTTGAATTGCGGTCTTTCTTGTCCTCCCAGGGCTATGTATAAATTCTAGGGAGGCTTTTATAATCCCATGGTGCCAGTGGATGGGGGTTCCTGGTTTGATTGCTCTCATGTCTTGCCCCTGATATTCCTGAGATATTTAAGTTTCTTCCCAGTCTCAGTCACCAGTTGTCATGGATCACTTTGCATCCTTTTTGTTCCAACCAGAAACTCTCTTCAGGTTCATCAGCAATTCCAGCTACTTTCCTGTCCTTTGACTGCAACTCATCATCAATATGTTGGGAGCTTGGCTGGGACCCTGTGAAGCAAGCCATAAGTTTTTGCTCTGAGATCCCCAAATGCATTCGAGTCTCTTACTCCCTCAGTACCATCCCTGGCCCCCTGTGCTCTGCTCCATGGAGTAGCAACAAGACAGTTTCTTAAGGTCAGTTACCAGCTCCTCTGAGGTCCCCTCACCTTCGAGCTGTAGACCCTTTTACCTATCTAGGGTGGGAAACCTGTAATCATGTGCATCCCTCTAAAATTGTTCCCATTGAGTAAGATTAATTAAACGGTCCACTTCACGTTTCTGGCTCTGGGTACTTGATGTCATTTTTTGTATACTCAAAACACCTTTCTCTCAAATATTCTCCCTCCTGTAAGTTTCAGATTTCTATTTTAAAACTCACAAGGCTGAGAAATAAATGTTTTACATTTTTGGGTATTTCTGCTTGAAAAAATCTTCACACAATGCCGTGAACACTCTTCCTTCTGCTTTGATGAGGAGGGCGGTGGAGTCACAGGAAGAAAATACCAGAAGCATAGACTAATTTTTCAAAATATTACGATGTTGTATGGATTAGTACCCAAGACTTACTCATTTAGCACAAATAGATTATCTATGAGTTCCATGTCTACAAGCAGTGTCTAGATCCTTTGGGCATCTGGATTTCTCTAAATTTCCTTTATTTCCACCAAAAAGCCTTCCTGATCACCCCTGGTTAGTTTAAGTCCCTCTGCAATAGGCCCTCAAAGCCCTTGATACGTTCACTTTATTGAGCCACACCCTTGTCCTTCTTTGCAAGTCGTAGGTAGGTGAACTCAAGTGTTACATGTCCTGTTTGCTTCTGAGCCTCCCTGCTTGGTGCCCACTAGACCCTTAATCAAAATTTCTATAATGAATACATAATTGGGTAGATTAAGTTAATCTAATTACCTTGATGAGTGTTAAGTGGTCCCTTGACCCTGGCTCGAGTTCCTCTGTCCCTTTTATAACTGGCAGGCATTTTGTTTTGCTTTGTTCTTTCACATTGGTGGTGAAGCCTTTTTGAAAACTATAAATGTAAATCTCTGCTTTTCTCCCGTGATTCCTCTCTTTGACTGCCATCCAGTCAATTTATCATTGGAGGTTCTTCTTCAGAGAACCCCCTGGGAGGACTCTAAGGGCAGTTTGTGAGAAAGCTGAACTGCATTGCTTTTTTATTTTTTTAAACCAATTAATTCATTTCCTCTGGTTCTTCATAAGTGTTCTTAGCTTAAATGCCACTTCCCAGAAAAGCGTTCCCCAAATTGAATTCAGAGCTTCCTATCATCATGGGGCAATCCTGTCTTTATAATTTCTTCTTAGAACTGGCCAAAATTTATAATTAATTTATAATTACACCCTTATTTTTGTGATTATTTGCCCAGTGTCTGGCTTTAGCCTTGGTTAGTAAGGCCTGTGGATGATAACCATATCATTTCACTCATTTTGTGTCCCTAGGACATAGCACAGTTTCAAACATGATACATTAAACATTATAATATGAAATAAATCATATACTATATAATTAATTATGTTAACATAAATTAAATATAAAAAAATCTATAAAATAAATATATATATTACATCTATATTTGTTGAAGGGAAGAATTTCAAATTGGGGTAAATACCACTTTTGCCATGAGCCCACTGAGAGTCTCACCTAGCTGACATTTGTTATTTATTTTGGCTGTCAGTGGCTGAACCCCTTTCCATGTTTGGAATTTCTGTGTTGAGGAATTGCCAACATTTTGAGTTTGGGGAAGTGGAGCGGAGGGGCAATATGTCTGAGCAAAGGCTGACTCCTAATTTAAAAGGTACAGAAGGACCAGTCATTGACTTTCCAAGATTCCCATGTAGGTGGAGTATGGCTGTGACCCCAGGCTCCAGCCAGTGGGTCTCAGGGATAGTGATACCAGCAGAGGGGCAGGGAGATGTCTCCCAGGGGCATGGCTGCAGCACAGTGGTTTCTGCATCAGAGCTGGTTTGGGACATCGGTTTGGGCATCATTTCTGTCTGCTTGGTCTCAGTCCTGAGTCCAGTGCTCCCAAGGATGCTCTGTCCTAATGAACCCATTCCTTTTCTGTCTTACTTGGCTGAAGTCAGTTTCTGTTGCTTGCAACTCTGAATATTGACTGATTGACCTTGGATGAACCACTTTACCTTGCTGGGTCTTGGTTTTCTTACCTGTGAGAGGAGGTGGGGGAAGGGAACTAAATGCTGTCTAAGTTATCTTCTAAAACTCTCAGGTTGTATAAAAATGGCTAGATTGGTTGGATCGTTTGAGGGTTGGTGGCAATAGCTCTTACTGCTAAAATCTCCTGGTCTATTTACCTGAGTACATTTCCCCACTGAGTGGCAATTTCCTCACTTTAAGGGCTTGGTTCAGTTATAATGAACAGTGAAGTCTCCCTCATTTTTTGAGCCAGATACTTACAGATTTGTATCTCCTGTTCTTTAAGCCAGCCACTGCCTCACTGGGGGAATGCTGTGTTCAGTTTTAGACCCAAACCCTGCAACACAGATGTACAGAGTGACACGACCTAATTTACATCTTCTTTCAATCACAGCTTTTGCTTGTTTATAGAAGAGTGGTATTTTAAGATTTGAGGAAATTTCAGTGGGAAAGTGCAGACCCCTCCTTCTTCCAGGTCTCTTTTTTTTCCAAATACAAATTAATATTTTCTACTTGGATCACCCCAGGGCTCACATGATGGTAGACACAACAAAGCTCTCAGAATTATTTTCTTTCTAAGTGCATGATGAGGGGTCTGGGACAGTTGGCCTTAGTTGTCATTCTATTGATAAAACAGAGGAAGGAAGAAACTCAAATTAGACTTGCTTTGAGTTGTCAAATTACTTTATTTCTTCAAAGGTGGTGTGAAGGCTAAATATCACCCTTATTTTTATACATATCAGGAACTGAGGGCCAACAAAGGTAGGTCACTGTTGCTAAGTCACCCCCTTCCTCCTTGCCATTGGTAATGTCAGTCAGTGGCAGGCTGCCTGCATGTGGGGGGTAGTGGCCTCATGACTGGCCTTTACTCTTACATTATCATCTTTTCATATCTTTTTCTTTCCTCTTTCTTTCTTTCTTTCTTTTTTTTATTCGTGGGGAGCAAATCTGTGTGCTTGCCAGCTAGACTCAAGATAGGAAAAACAGTTCTCCTTATCCCTATGTTCTGGTCCATTGTATGTCCCTTGCCATTTTCTCAATGCACACATGTAGTGATTTTGCTTCCTGTGACTTTGTCTCATCCCAGCCACTACAATATTCTTGTTTTCAGTAGTCTAGCTACTGATTTGGTGACTCTTGTTACTGGTGGGGAATTTAATCCATCTTGTTGGTTCTCCTTATAAACTTCACTTCTACATCAATTCCATGTCCTTTTCTCATCCACTTCATTATCCAAGGTAGTGCATAGCTCCAAACATCGGCTGAAGACCTACTCATAGCTGAGCAAAGGAGCCTGATGCAAGGAACTGAAAGTCCAGCTCTTAGAGAATCAAGCGTTCTGTCTCACTCACACCGGTGGAGTTGAACCATAGTTGGGATCCAAACCCAAGTAACTCTACCCATGATGTTTGTACTATTCCATGCTATCTCAGCACAGAGAGAGGGAAGGACTTTGTTTCTCGGAAAGTGTATCTGCTGGAATGGTTCAGATGAATTGGGCCCAAAGACAGAGCCTTACATAATTTGGAGTATTTACTTTCAGTCCCATTGTTCTATTACGGCTTTAATTGATCAATTCACTAGAATTGATCAGTTATGAACAATATTGCCTATGCGACGCTTAAATTAGTGCCAGCTTGAACTGTAGCTGGAACTTACAGATATCCCTTAGTGCTCTGCTGCAAGATATATTTAAAGTTAACTGGGTTGCAGATGTGTGATTCTTTTGTAGAAGCAAAGCGCATATTCTGTGAATTTCCTCCCACAAAAATTGCCTAATTTAAGAATTGAAGTTTTTCCCGCTTTTCCAGTAAACCAAAAGGCAGTGGTACAAGTGAAGCGATTAAAAAATAAACAACTTAGAAAAAAGTTGACAGGTACAGGTGTCTGTGCTAGAACTGGTTTAAAGATACCTGGAATAGAAATTTTGGAAAATGAAAATGAGGACACACTCAAATGAAGAAAGAACAGACTGATGAAAGATTAAACACGTTCCACTTTGACTAGAAAACACTGGGAAAATGAGTGTAACATGTAAGTTTTGTAACTTCTATGGAGTTTATCTTAAAATGCCTTTCATATTTAATATTTTAATGTTTTGCGGAGTATATTTTAACAGGAGAAGATTGTAAAAAATAAATGAATCTCATGTTAACTTTGTATTCTCTTCAAATACATAAGTAATATTCTGCAGTGCTTTTAGATCTAAGCTTTTATCTCTCTTTCTACTCTAAACTTGATTTCTAATCATTCAGTTTAAGGCATTTAGTTTTATCCTACTCGGAAAAACCACAATTATTCATTTGCCATGTGTTTAAAAACCATAGCATGGTTAATTCTCTGATGTCCTTTTATTTAAAAAACATTTTAAAGATTTTATTTATTTACTTGTCAGAGAGAGAGCACAAGCAGGGGGAACAGCAGGCAGAGCAGGCAGAGGGAGAAGCAGGCTCCCCGCTGAGCAGGGAGCCCGATGTGGGCTCTATCCCAGGACCCTGGGATCATGAGCTGAGCTGAAGGCAGATGCTTAACCCACTGAGCCACCCAAGGCATTCCTCTGATATCCTTTTAAAAAGGATAATGTAATACAAATGCTTGAAGTCCTTCCTCTCCCCATTGCACACTCATAAAAGTAAAAAATATGTAGAACGTTAGAAAATATTATGGACTAAGTTCTAATCTATTTTTTGTCAATGACTTTGACAGCAACACAGAAAACAGCTTTTGAGATACTGTGAAATCATCACATGAGTCACCAAAGAGAAAGGATGGTGCTATGTTAAGTTCCCAGACATCTGTTAAAGCGAGTTTTATTTATACAGTTATTGTTTATTTGGGGCTTTAGAAAAAAGACCCTCATTTTGAGCCTTGAGGCATCCATTCCATTTACAAACAAAAGTCACACAGACCAAATGAAATACAATTTCTTCTGCATAACCCTCTGCAGAGAGGCAGAAAAGCAAGCAAGCGAATGGGAGTAATGCATGTGTGGTCTGGGTCTGGTTGATAGCTACTAAGCACAGGTAAAAATTTTGGCTCAGGACTGTAAAGCAGGGCTGCAGGGCCCTGACACAGGGCATCAAGACTAGAAGGAGATCTGGGCTCACTTCATTGATCTCTTTGAGGTTTAGACTCTATTTGGAAAATGGAGTGAAACTGGTATAATTGAGGTGTGTCTCAGCTGCAGTTAATTTTTAGAGATGAGCCTTGACTTCTTCGGTGGAATTTCATAACCCGAGACACATGGTGGATTTTCCAAGCTTCTTTCTTGACACAGTCCACACATGTGGGGTTCTCAGGGTAAGCACCCTCCTGATATGATAGGCTGTTCCGCAATGGACCATTCCCTGCATGCAGTAGCTCTGCTTTCACAGAAGCAAATTCGAATGCACGTGCATAGACACGACTTTGTTATAAAAGAACTCAGCCACTTGGATTTCTAAGACAAAAAAGCATGAATAAATATTGTTGCTTTATTACTAATAAAACATTCCTTATCCTCGATCCTCTACACCAGAGTGTCGTGACCCTTACGTTGGGAAGACTGTTCTTTTCTTTCTTAAATAAGAGGATAGGGGAAGAGGAAGTGGTGACTGTCTCAGATAGCTTCATCTTTTCATCTTTCCTGGATTTTGGGGAACTCAGAGATAAAAGGAAACTCCCCCTTTCCTACAAATCCCTTATAAAATCCCAAAGATGAGTCTGATGCTCTTTCTAGTCATATGTCCATCCCTGTTCTTGATCTTGTAGCTAGAGGCATGAGGTCCTCTGGTCAGTCTTGGGTCAGGTGGTGCTGGCTTCACACAGCAGCTCGGAGTAGAAGGGTTGCTGTGGATGCTAAAGTTTAGGAGGAAATGAAAGACATACGGTGGATTTGCAAAAGCAGATGTCCACTACATGGAGTGCTAATCTGAATGTCATTTCATTATTTATCTTACAGAAAAATAATAGATAATGGTATAAAGATACTTCGAAGTTAGTACACTCTTTCTTAACAAGGATCTGAAAGAGCTCATGTTTAAAATGAACGCCAAAGCTTAGACTTCATTTGCCAGTGTCAGTACTCAAAGGAAGAACCCTTTCATTTCTTGTTTAGACTGTTGCCTAAACAAACCTAAACAACCTGTGTCTACTTTGTTCATTGCTTTAGCCTTGACACAAAGCGCATAGGAGATGCTCCATAATGCTTTGTTGATTGAATGAATGAACAGTGATTTTTCTACCTCCAATTTACAGGTAAATCTTCCTAAACACGGCTCTCATTAAGTCTCCTGCTCGGAAACCTACTAGTGCCTCAAAACATAAGGAATTAAGTACGAGTCTGATCACAAGTTATACAAAACCCTGAATACATGGATATTATCTTTCCTTCTAGCCTTATCACGTATGCCAAAGTAAATTGCTTGCTAATTTCTTTTCTTTTTCTCAAAAATATGGAGCACTTCACAAATTAACATGTCATCCTTGCACGGGCACCATGCTAATCTCTGTATTGTCCCAGTTATAGCGTATGTGCTACTGGAGCAAGCACTTGCTAGTTTCTATACAAACCTCACACATACCTGTGCCTTTGCTCATGCTGATCTTGCTACTATCCCATTATTTCAACTTGTAACATGTAGATTGTATGCCATGTCCCTCATGAAACTGTTCTTAATTTGCCCTGTACCATGGAATTTGGTCCTCCTCTGCTGGTACTTAAATTCTATTCTTCCTTTTACTATAGTTGTTTGTATTCCAGGAAGCTACAGCCGGATACTAAGGTGTCTTGGTGTCCCCAACAGTACCTGGCATTGTGTCTGGCACCGAACACTTGGTAAAAAGGAATTATTGAATTCAAATGAGATAATCTGTAGGGCAGGTATGTAGTTACACGGCACTGATTAGGGCTACATTAGTAGAGGGACTGGTTTACAGATGGTAAGAAACCAGTGAGGGTGTTTAAAATCCTCTTTCTAATTATTCTTTGATTTAAAACTTAAGAGGGTCCTAAGGTAATTATAATTTTGTGTGAGAGAAAAGCGTTTTCTGGAAAAGTCTTGCTTTATGCCACTGTGTCACTATAGTTAAATCTTGGTGATTCTATTTTACTTTATATCTAGTGAATTTCCACTATCCAAGCCTCACACTTGAGAAAATGAGCCAGAAGAAGTAACACTTAATAGAAATCTCTGAAGAAGATTCATATTAAAATTTCCAGTAAGGGCAGAGCTTCTGTTTTCTGAGGAAAATGAGTGTTTTAAAATTTCTTCATGGTGAATGTGTTTTCTATATAGTACCAAATATGATGGAACATATTTTCCAACAACATGGGTTGGGAAGTCTAGAAATTTCAGGAGCACAGATGTCTTCTTAGCATCTTTTCTTACCCAATGTAAAATCTGACAGCTTTTTTAGGGTTAAACTTTGGGTCTTTTGGTACATTCAACTTCTGGAGTGAAGAATGGATAGGATGTGGTAAATTGGATAAGTCATTGTAATAACTTCTTCTGGCTAAACATCTCTGAAGTCCACATAGAAAATGTCTCCTACAGGCAAGATAAATGAACAAATAATAGACTTTTTTTGGGTGTAAATGGGCTACTGCTCCTCCTCCCACCCATCATTTCCACCAGGAGTCTTGACTCTGTTCTATTGATTTCCCTCGCCAGGTAGCAATGCTGATTTGCGCTGGCTTCCTGATTGCCTGGATTCCTTATGCGGTGGTCTCTGTGTGGTCAGCTTTTGGAAGGCCAGACTCCATCCCTATACAACTCTCTGTGGTGCCAACCCTCCTTGCAAAATCAGCAGCAATGTACAACCCCATCATTTACCAGGTCATTGATTACAAATTTGCCTGTTGCCAAACTGGTGGTTTGAAAGCAACTAAGAAGAAATCTTTGGAAGACTTCAGGTAAAATTTCAGAGGCCAGAAATGAATAATATTGTTTCAGAATCCTGTGGGGTTCAAGCCATTCTGATATACTATCTTTTTAGGGTTAGAGCTCATCACTTAGGAGTAGCCTAAAGAGAATTTTCTGTTCATCAATATTCCTGAAATCAAGTCATCAGATATGTTGGGTTGGGAGTCATGGGTAGATAATGAGAAAACTAATTCCATTTTTAATTGTGGAGTAACTAAGATAGGAAGCTATGTCCATTTTTGAGTGGCCATTATTTCTTACTCTTCCTTATTTGGGACCAAATCCATTTTACAAAGAGCATGGCTCCACATGGCATTGATTCAAAATTAAGTTCTTACAACAGAAAAGATTCTCCTGTTTGGGATGTTTCTACCATTAGCTATGAGTATAGGATTTGGGCAGGCAAAGGAAGGAGAGAAAAGAGGTGACATTTTTACTCTCTGTCAGGTTCTTTATGTTATTTTCACAGGGGTCCCTATTGTACCTTCTCTTTGTCAGATAAGGAAATGGAGGTGCAAGTGGGGTTAGGTGAGCTGTTTGTGCTTACACAACCAGGAAGTAGCAGGGCAGAGATTTAAACAGGTCTTATTGGGTTTTGAAACAATCTACACTCTTTCTGCTATAAAATGAAAAAGTGAGTTTGGGAAGCCACAATTTTTCCCATAGGTGAGGGTGAGTAAAGAGTTGAGGATGATGTGTGGGCTTTGCGTCCATGCAGGGCCAGTCTTAGTGCTGGAATGTGGATCAGACACCTGGGTGCATGGTCTGAGGTGAGGGGTGTAGAAAAGGTCCGGATTTTCTGATTTCTATTAATTCTTACTCAGTAGATATGTAGTTATTTTTTCATACTGTTTTTCTTCACTAAGCAGGAAACAGAAGAGAACAAAAGGTAGAACTAGCTGGGAGAAGATGTTCTTTCACTATGCTTGAGCAATTGACAAATATTTTGACCTTTAGGTTCCTCACCATCTAGGGTACAGGATCAAATGAAAAAAAAAAAAGAAATAAAAAGGCATAAAGAAAAATATCTTTGTTGTTGTGGTATAAGGGAAGAAATACACAATTTGGAGGTACAAGACCAGTGTTTGGTTTATTTTTCCATATCTTTGGGAAAAAGAACTACTAAGAGCCTAGAATTGAGAAGAACTGATTGCAACACCCATCTTTTGAAACTCTAAGAATTACACCAACTGCGTGTTTGGAAAGGGCTAGCTAACAAATGTTACTGGGTTTTTTTAGTTCCACATTGTTGGTGGTTAATGCTTTTCTGTTGAATTGAATAAATTCAAATTCTAAAATGCATCTATTCTGGCAGTAATAACACTTTGCCCTTATCAACTATTAATACTTTATTATGAATGCAGGTTAGAGAGAGTATTTTTAATAGAGCAGTTGTGGGAGAAAATAATGGCCATTTCTTCTCTGAAAGAGGTGATGGGAATTTGACAGGAATGGCTGACGGCAAATTCTACCTACCTCATAATTTTGCCTTGGACCGATTCTGTGTTCTGTACGTTAACTCTCAAGTGTGAGCAGCACATAAATATTCAACGCTCAATAATGAAAAGGAGAAATTTATGAGGAAGTCAGTGACTTGGGGCCGCGGACCTTTGGAGAAGCCAGCCAGGCAAGAATCAGTTCAGTTCAGCTGCTCCCATTAGCCATTTCTGTGAAATACAACAATTACGTTGCTGGAGGAAGACAAGTGCTGTTTCCTTACTCCAGAGTCTTGAAGCTTTCAGTGTAAAAAGCAGGCAGGTGGTAGGGCTTAAATAGGAAGGAGCCCTTGGATTTTCAAATTTGGAGTGTTGAAAAGGTGTGATGAGTTGCTGATTTTTGGAAGGATCTTTTTCAGGGAAGAACTTTCCAAAGAAGCAAAAAAACATTTTTTTTATTGTTGTTTATCTTCGCAGTTATTAAGGAGCTAAGAAAGTGGGTAGTATTGAGTGGATAGAATGAGGCAAAGTGGTCTGAAGCCAGTCCAGAGTTGTTAATGCACTACCAGAACAATTCAATCAAATTAACCTAGATTAATTGATATCCTTGTTTTTTCCTCTTCTGAGTTCTAAAATGAATTTGCTTATAATGGGAGACCCCCTTGGGAAGTATTCTGAATTCAGATAAAAAAGCTAATGTGTTGAATATGAGATTGTGGAAATATATTTTGAGTAATTTTTATAGTTCATTAAAAGTTAACTCATATTTCCCCCCTAAATTGGGTCCCCTGAGATTTTAGTAAAAGCTGGTGAGCTGCAGCAAAAAATAGGGCCAAGAGCCCATCTTGAAATGCTATTATTCATCACATTTGGGTATCCAGATATAGTCTCCAGTATTTTCACAAACAGTGCTTTTCCACCCTGACTGTGGGTTAGAGTCAAGTAGGGAACCTTGAAAAACTGCTGCAGAGACCCCACTTGCAGGGATTTTGCTTCAGCTGGTCTGGACTGGCCCAAGCTTCATTCGTTTGTTTCATTGGTTAATTCTCCCAGGTGGTTCTCATACCCAGCCATTGTTGAAAGCCAGTGAACCAGAACCTGGGAAAGAAAAACATTGGGAGTGCTGCTCCTGTAGTCAGAGGCCTCTCCCCCAACCTACACAGAGACCACTGAGTGACAAGGGAACCAGACTTCAGGTGCTAGACCAATCTTAGATGCAATATAAGTGATCAAATGATACTGGGGTTACATATTGAAGGACCAAGACATTTTTACTCTCCTGGTATTTTAATAACAATATAGAACAGAAAACAAAGCCCTAAATTCTGGCATTGCCATTCTAATAAACCTCTCCTGACTACCTTAGTTTGAATGCTGTCTTTCCAAAGAACACTCTTTGTAGGTAACTTACGGGGCCAACTGACTGGCAGGTCGACAGGGAGGCAATGAATTTTGTTCTAAGGATGGGAAACCCACTGGGGCATAGGAAATGTGCCATGAACAAGTGACTTGTTTTTGGAAAGCTCCACTCAAGGATTTTCTTGATTTTGAATATTTTAAAGTGAATTATTATTATTTTCTTTTCTAATTCAAGTCTTGTGTATATAATCTTCTTGGTAGATGTGCCTGCTATGATATACATACATACACAGTATGTGTATGTGTGTGTGTGTGTATATATGTTAAGTTACATTTTCCTTCTCCTGTGTCTAGGCTGCACACTGTAACCACAGTCAGGAAGTCTTCTGCTGTGTTGGAAATCCATCAAGAGGTATGAAGATGGACACAGCATCACTCATGGACACAATTATTCACTTGTTTGCCTCTTCACTGCTGTTGATGTTTGATTGTGACTACACTTTTCTCTTTATATTATATTTTTATATTTTGTACAATTTCCCTCTTTTCCCTTCAGCCAGGATTTGCTGGGAAATTCCAGTGGCCAAATGGAAATTACATTATAGGATACTATTTAAGGAATATTACTAGGATAAGCCTCCCTGGAATTTTTCTTTTATTATATTTTAAAACCTAATTGTCATGCCCCAAAGTATTAAGTCCAAGATACTAAGAAAAATGTTTCAAAATTGTATTTATTAAGATGTTACTTAATTTCATTATATCATAATTATTATTTTTTAATGTAGGGCCAGGATGGCAGTTTTGGGGTCCATTCAAATGGGTGGGTGATTGTTGGGTGGTTCTTTGACTGGTGGATCTTCTGATTCTTGCAACCATTCTTCTCTCTTGCTGACAGAGGGTCACACTCTAATGGTAGTGATTCTAAAAAGCAGTCCTCTAGGGAAATCAATTTTGCCTTAAATCCCTAATGGAAAACTTGTTATCTCAGAATTTGAGAGCAAAACCAATTCCCACTAATGATAATTTTACCTACATGGATTTTTCCCTTTAAGTTATACCTACTAACATAGTGGATGTAATAGGGCATTACTAGCTATAATTACTCAAGAAACAAATTTAGTGAAAATAGTTATATATAAGTATTTTTTTATTTGTTTATTCTTTGTTACCTTTGTTCTTGCTTTTGTTCATCGGTTGTTTTCAACAAACACCGTGTGAGGTGTACAGGTGAAGAAATGCAGATAAGGTTGGGATAGAATGATTTCAAAAGGCAGATGTCTGCCCCTTAAGAACTAATGAAAGGGGCAGGCATGTAAATATTAGGTCCAAATTGGCCTTCAAGACATGTCTATCTGATCTTTCCTAATACAAAGAATACGGCCATCTTCCTTGCAGTTCTTTTCATTCCAGTTCTAGGCAGATGTCCCCCATGCTCCCTGCTCCATTCATCTCCTCCTTCTGCTATGACCCTAAATCCTGATCAACAATTCTGATCCTACCTTTCTAATAACAGCTGGTGAGAGAAGAGGGAAAAGGAAGGGAGAGGTCCCTCCAATGCCCTTGATAATTTCTCCACTCCTTCCTTCTGAGGATGTATAGAGATCAGATCCTCCTCCAAGGCTCAGCCCTTGCTATATGGTCTTGGGTTTTTGCCCGTTAGTTTTCTCCAGAGTTGGAGTGAAGAGGGAGTTGATATGCATCCCTGGTTTATGATAAGGGCTCAGTAGATGTGTGTATAAAACAGTTTCTGATTAAAGCAAAAGAAATGATGACTCTGCCTGGGGCTTGGAACTGGTTACTCAAGTGGGGACAAAAGAGGTAGGATTACCATTAGAATAGAACAGCAAGGGACTTATAGGCAAATGAGTAAAATACAGAGAAAGAGTGTGCTATCTCAGGTAGAGGGAGTGACAGGTTCAGAGCGCAGTCAGACTGCCTGTGCCTGCAGCTCACCACCCTTCAGCAAACCTGTAAAACAGGGATAGTAACAACATGTTCACAGGGTCCTGTGTAACAACAGGTTCACAGGTCCCTGTGAGGCTTAGATGAGAAAATATGCATGTAAATCATTTAGCACCATGATGGCAATGGAGGAAGTAGCCTTACCTATGAGCAGTTCCTATAATTATTATGAACATGCATGGCGGTGGTCAGAATTGAGGCACGAATTTATGGTCAGGCCGGGACCTTATTGTTGACAGTAATGTGAATCTCAACTCAAAGGGGATAGAAACCCTGTGGGATTTTAGGCAGGGAAAAGAAGTGACTAGTTTGAGGGAAGAGTAGAGGGTGGATTGTTTTGCATGAGGATAGGGTTCAAGAGGTTGGGAGACCAATCAGGCAGCTTTATAAAGAAATGGCAGTTTACGAGGGCCTGAATTAAGTAAGGACTGGTAACAGACATGGAGATGAGAATACAGGTTTAAAATATTTTAAGTGGGAGATCTTGACAGTTGATTGGATGGGAGGTGGAGGAACCAAGGATGACAGGGAGGCATCTGCTTAGGAAACAGTGAGGTTAGTGGCGTCTGCAAAGGGGCAGTGTGCAGGAGGGGAGATGGATGGGTGCAGACGACAAATCATATTTGTGTTATTTGTCCACAAGACAGATGAAGAAATTTAAAATAATAGGTAAACATAATCTAAAATTGTACCTGATGTGTGGGGATTAGAATTTGCAAGTTAAGCAGGTAGGAAAAGAATGAACATTAAAGGATAAATTGCTGGTTTCTAATACCTCAAGAGAATGAAGAATTTTTTGTTCTGTTTTTGAAGGAATAATTATGGAAGTGAATGATGGAGGGAAGTAGAAAAGAACATTCAGATTAGTATCTAGAAAGTACAATTTGACACTGACATTGTACAGAGGTCCCTGAAAGTAGAACACCTCCTGTCATTCATTGACTGTTTAACTAGGGTGTGGTCTTCTACACAGCTGGGAAAAGGATGTACAAGAAAGGATTAGTATAGTCGTGGGGGGCAGAGGAAGAGTGTAAACACTAAGAGCTTTGGGGGAAGATCTGAAAATTGACTTCTGCTTCCATTTGAAAAATATGATTTAAAAAGTGATTCTACACGCTCTGGTTCTACATCTTTTGAGTGACACTTTGGGAGCTGGGAGAAACCAGAATTGTTACCAGTATTGATAGGGAAGGAGAAAGGTAGAGGGTAGAATGGAGAAGAAAAAGAATGAGCTCTTGAGGGTTGGCTTGAATATACCAGGCTGTTGGTGGATAATTGCCCCTTCCCCTGGAGATCTCAATGATTTGAGAAAGCTCTATGTAGTCCCCAAACACTTCTACAAATTCAATTTAAGCTTACTTTAGCTTAGAAAAAAGACATATCACATTTTGTGCTGGCGAGGCTGTATGTAAGAAACTCTGAAACCTTGAGCAGACACAATGCCTCGTCTCCTTTAGGTCTGGTAATGGTCTGGTGCCTGCCATGGGAAGGGCCCTGGGAAACTGAATGGTGCAAATCAAATCAAAAGAGTAGCTCTCAGGTTTGAATCAGGAGAGATGTGGGAGTATGGAAGAGAGTACCTTATCTAGAGTGTAAAATTCTAGATCCTTAATTTATGCTTTATTTTAAATTCACTTGCTTTTTTAGCTTAGAATTGGAATTATTAATGACTCATTAATAAATGAATAAATAAATGATTGTGAAATGGGGATTAAGAATAGAAATGCCCAATTACCTTCAAAGGTTGGATTTCAAGAATCATAATTAAATCCAAAAATATTTTGATTCTTTTTCCAAGTAGAGTGAGGGAATAGGAATATATTATACAGCAAAACCCAATTATTTAACTCTCAAGAAATGCAGTTGTTTCAAGAATCAAGCCTTATACTTATTTAGAACTGAAATGGTAACTAGAATTTTTGTCTCATTTATGCTATCCTGGAAAAACACAGTATCATCTTTAATGATTTTTAGTAATATGATCCCCAAATCTGCCAATGGGAGTGCTTCTCCATTTAAGTTAGTGCAAATGAGGAAGGAACAAGAAGGGGGAGGGAGAGAAGAAGAGGTGGAGAGTGAGTGGGATATTGAAGGGATTGCTGATGCTTGCAGAATAAAATGTCTTAAATTCTGCTGAAATGTCAGAGGATGATTTATCCAGGGTGAGGATATATGCCATTATCGAAAAAAGGTTAGTGAAGGTAGCATGAACTTTTGATAATAACTAATTTTGTAGAAAGCGAAGCAGGCCTGTTGCCCAGAAGGCCAAAGGATTGACTTTTCTGCACTCCATTTGTGAAAAGGAGCAAATGGCAAGAAATATAAGGGCTGTAAGGGATTTGGTAAGAAAACATTGGCAGGATGCCCAGTGTCAAGCCATAAGCCCACATAGCAAAGCCACCAGTCACCACTGTGACCTTGAATGATTTTTCAAAGATTTCACAACTTTCAATATTCATTAGGTTGTGGAACTCTCAGGAAGATATACTTGAAATAATTTTATCCAAGAGATTTAAATCAGAATAAGCATTGGCTTTTAAAGTACTTTTCTTGATTGCTTTGAACCTGGTTTTCTTAACCATGCCAGAGAGATGAGACGCTATAGTCATTGTATATAGGGACCTTTCCAATTTGGTCATAGACTATATATATATATATATATATGTATATATACATACATATATATATATACACACACATATATATACACATACATATATATATACATATATATACATACATATATATATACATATATATATACATACATATATATATGCACATGTGCACACACATGTATGTATACTCTCACATGTAACAAAGGCTCTAGAAAAGACACACATTATATACATTACATGAAACATATTTGAGATAAAAAATTATTTCTAAATTATATATTTGCATTATTATTGCTTTTGCTCTAAATACTGTATTTACTTATTCAGCTTTGAATTCTGGAAGCTTTTATTAAGTGTCTGCAATATACACAGTCTTGAATGTTTTGAGAGATACAAAAGAAGGGGAGGATGTGTTTTTTAAGAATTTGAAGGTTTGGCAAAGTCTTGACTTCTATTTATATTGCAAATGATTTTAACAGTAATAATTTTTATTTTTATTTATTTTTTCACTATATCATTTTAATCTCAGATCCAGCTTTGCCATGAAAATCTCACTTATTAAAGCAACTAAATTTCAGTTTTTGCTTAAACTAGTTTGAGTTGTCTCCTGCAACACAGTTTTGACCAACAACTGTACTATATTTGTGGAGGAATAAATATAGATGGGAATCCATAGACACCAATAGGTTTTATTTTGATGGGATACTTTGAGAAACTGTAAAATGTCAGGACAAATCCTGGGAACTGATTTGTATATATGCGTCTGTGCCCTGGTTGAGGAGAGAAATATGGAGCTTCTGCCAAGTCCTCCAGAGACAAATTCATTCATTGCTGG